GGTTTTAAAAGCTTAAGTCAAATAGTGACCGGATATCGAACTATGTGCAAATGACCCCGGAATAGAATTTTGATAATTCCAATAGTTTCGTATGGTAATTTTGGACTTAGGAGCGTGATCAAAATTTTATTTGAAAGTCCGTAATGAAATTAGGCTTGAAATGGCTAAAATAGGAATTTAAAGTTTGGAAGTTTGACCGGAGAATTGACTTTTTGATATCGGGGTCGGAATCCAGTTCTGAAAATTTTCATAGCTTCGTTATGTCATTTATGACTTGTGTGAAAAATTTGAGGTCAATCGGACTTGATTTGATAGGTTTCGACATCGAAAGTAGAAGTTGGAAATTCTAAGTTTCATTAAGCTTGAGTTGGAGCATGATTCGTGATTTTAGCGTTGTTTGATGTGATTTGAGGTTTCAAATAAGTTCGTATGATGTTTTAGGACTTGTTGGTGTATTTGGTTGAGGTCCCGAGGGCCTCGGGTGAGTTTTAGATGATTAACGGATCAAAAATAGGACTTAAACAGCTGCTGCAAATTTTCTTCTGCTGAGCAATCGAGCCCAGAAGTCAAGGGCCATGATAGAAGGAAAGCTCGAAGGCGAGTGATCAAAGGCCACTGATCGAAGGCTCAGGATAGATGCCATGATCGAGGCCATGATTGAAGGCCCAGGCTCGATGTCGTGATCGAGGCCATGATCGAAGGCTCAGGCTTGATGCCAGGATCGAGGCCATGATCGAAGGACTAGACTCGATGTCATGATCGAAGCCACGATCGAGGCCTAGGTTCGAGGGCCATGATCGAAGTCACAATCGAGGCCCAGTTCCGAAGGCTGCCTAGGCAGATTTATAAAAGAGGGCATTCGTCCCATCCGCCATTTTTAACAAACTCGAGCTTGAGCAGAGGCGATTTTTGATAGATTTTCAAGGAAAGACATTGGGGTAAGTGATTCTAACTCGGATTTGGTCCATATAAACGAATATATCATTATTTTCACCATTTAATTAGTGTATTGAGATGTAAATTTGGAAAAAATTTAGAAATCTCATAAAAATGAATTTTTGAGATTTCGGTGTCAATTCGGAGTCGGATTTGAGTGAAACTGATATGGTTGGACACGTAATTGAATGGGTTGTCGGATTTCGTAAGTTTCGCCGGATTCCGAGAGGTGGGCCCCACAGGCAATTTTTAGCTAATTTCGGATTTTATTGAAAAATATAGTATTTTCTTATGAAATAGATTCCTATAATTTTTGTTGACTGTATCAAATTAATTATGACTAGATACAAGTCGATCGGAGTCGAAAAATCGAGGAAAAGGCATACTATTTAGTTAAATTGGAGCAAGTCGAGGTAAGTGGCTTGTCTAACCTTGTGTGGAGGAAATTTTCCCTAGGATTGGTATTGATGTGATTATTAAAATGTGTTGAAAGTCATGTACACGAGGTGACGAGTGTGTACACGGGCTAAATGTGAAAGATTATATTTTTAAATTGTGTAGATCACTGTTGCGCATTTATTAAATTATTTTATCTTGTTATATTCTTCATCATTGATCTGAGATATATACTTCAAATTTGTTTGATCTTTTCTTACTAATTNTTATTTTATCTTGTTATATTCTTCATCATTGATCTGAAATATATACCTTAAATTTGTTTGACCTTTTTCTGCTAATTATTTTACCTGTTTAGTTGAAACTTGGTTTCTTTTATTCTGTGCATTATTTGAAGGTTGATTTTCTTTAAATTAAATATTATTAATATGAAGTATTTGACATTTTTAAATTTGATATTGAAGCAACGCATTAAAGATTTTGAAATATTATTTTCTTGAATTATTTATTCATGAATATTTTTGTAAGATTTTCGTACTCATTGTGATGGGGCCGTGAGCTCTTTATTATGGAAAAATATTGTTGCTGAATTATTTTGGCAAGTTAAATTATTTGACCACTTGAGATACAAATTGTGATATATTGTGATATTGATACGCATGCGGTGGTATAAGGTCTGGGTATTGAAACGCATGTGGTGAGATAAGGGTGGCTTGATACGCGTGGCTATTAGGGGGAACTACTAGTAGTCATGCGGTGTGATAAGGATGGCTAAAACGCGGGACGCTATTTCGGAAAAAAATATTTTCTTTCAAATAAATTGTGATGGATCCTGCGTTGAGATAAGAAAATGAGATATTGTGAATTTATTTATGACTTGGGACTATGAGGCGGTACCTCGGGAGTTCCCTTGTTGATATTGATTTATGGCCGCAATTGCCTTTGATTATTTGTTGTGATTTTCTTGAAGTTGAAAGAAAATTTTGTTTTGTTTCCACGAGATATTAATTGTCATTATTTAGTGTAATTAAATGTGACATACTACTTGATTCATTTTCATTGTCATTTTATCTTGTTATATTGTTTAAACATTTTACCATGTCATTATTTATTCTCCAGTAGGACCTGACCTGACCTCGTCACTACTCTACCGAAGTTAGGCTTGGCACTTACTGGGTATCGCTGTGGTGTGCTCATACTATGCTTATGCACATCTTTTTATGCATATCCAGGTACATCTTATCAGACCAGGCATCAGTAAACTAACTGTACAAGGAGACTTCGAGGTATATCTGCCAGCGTCCGCAGACTTTGGAGTCTCCTTCTATCTTACTATGTTGTCTTCCTTATTTGTTTTAGACTCTGATGTATAGAGATATGGAGAATAAATTCTTAGAAGCTTGTGACTTATTTTTACCAGGTTTTGGGAATTGAAATTGTTTGAATTGTAGTTTATTTATTTCAGATATTTATTATTATTCAGCATTGATTGGCTTATCTAATCTTAGAGACTAGGTGTCATCATGATATTCTACGGAGGGAATTTGGGTTATTGATTTTTTGATTTGATTTGGCATTGCTACATCATTTAACATGAGGCATGATTCTATTAACTTCTTCATTTGCTTAAGTAGTGTCACACCATTTGATACATGACACAAAATTTGGGTTGTGCTCCTCATTTGAAGTCTAAGTAAATGAAATAACCTAAAAAATTGAACATTTAATTAAATTTGAATTTTGGACTTCAATAATTAATTTAATTATATTAACTTACATATTTATTTGAATTGATATTTTTTACACTTAAAACATAGTCCAAATTACTTTATGAATTTAAATCCATAAAATTAAATCCTACACTAATATCTTACCAAGGATTAATCACTTTGATATACATTCTTCCAAAAATTAACCTTCTTTCCACTTTCGATCAACTTCTATTCAAAAACAACGCAGCTCTCATGTTAATAGTCGTACTTAGTACACTTTATATTGGAATGGAATTAAGGAATACTAGAATATACGGAAAAGCAACCAAAAAAAATTGCGTACAATGAAGATATTAATTTCAGAATAGATGTTATTTTTGCTTTCTCTTTTTCTTTTTTTTCTTTTCGATAATGGATGGTCATTGCATTTGCATGTCTAAACTAATTATAGTCTGTTTGCCAAACTTTGTTTTGGCCAAAATTACTTTTTTTAGCCAAAAGTATTTTTTTAAAAAAAATTAAGGTGTTTCACCATACTTTTAGAAGGAAATAAGAGTATTTTTTAACAACAAAATAATTTTTTTTTCCAAATGTACTTTTTACTTTTGAGAAAAATACACTTAGAAGCACATTTCAAAAGTTTGGCCAAACACTAATTGTCATTTAAAAGTATTTTTTAAATTAATTAGTCAAATACAAACTGATTCTTACTAAAAGTATTTTTTTTTTAAAACACTTTCCAAAATAAGTTAGATTTTAGACGTTTAGCCAAACAGACTATTAGAATGACCTTCTGAGTGGTTAGCATGGTCGATTAACTACTATAGACGATACAAAATGGAGTAAAATATAATATTTTCATCATGATTTTTTTAAATCTCGAAATAGGAAAGGAAAAAAGTCTCATATGAATATAATCTAAACGTAACGCATATTTCTGATTTTTTTTTTTTTTTGATTTCCCATCCGGTGTCCGGTACCCACATTGTGGTCCGACTAAATCTGGATTCGTGCCGGAAAGTACCACAGGGGGAGGGGGGGAGTAAAGCGCTCCGTAACAACGGCGACTCCATACCCAGGGACTCAAACCCGAAACCTCTAGTTAAGGATGAAGGAGTACTTATCATTCCACCACAACCCTTGTTGGTTATATTTCTGATTGATTTCCTGATTGTAGTATGTGGACAACTCATTTATTTCTTAACTAATAGTTATAAGTTGTAAAATAAGTATGTTTATTGAAATAAACGAGCCATTGATAGTTTGAACTAAGAATGAACCATCACAATTGTGATAAAGCAACTTGATTAAGAACATAATGGAACTTGATTATACAAACAATATATATATATATATATATATATATATATATATTATACATTTTACGGTTAGCGAATACAATTAGTTTCAACAGCTTAACCAGCTTTGTATTTTGTCCAATTTTTAGAGAAAAGGATTAACTTTGGCCGCAGACTGGTTTCCTCTCATATACCATGATTGATACATATTTCCTACCATTGAAAAAAATAGAAAAAAATGCTACTCCCATTAATGTTAGAAACGAATATTCTAGTCCTGACAAAAATTGAACTCCGCATTTTTTTCCGGGCTAGCCATAAAATTACATATATACCCATTTGTATTAGAATAATTAATTATTTCGAGATAAGCTTCATCTCGTAATCCTTTACGTACCAAGTATCACAATTAAAATTCTGGAAAAAAAAACAAATTAAATTTATCAGACTCCTATAAAAGGGGGGAGCACCCAAAAATACTGGAAGCCCTAGTGACAAGTAGCGTAATTCCCCCAAAGAATTAATATCCAATCGAAAAAAATAAATTAAATTCTAAGCCTAGCAAATACTAAGTTTCTTTTCTTTATAACTTCAGAAGTTTCTAGAATCTTTTCATAATCCAATAAATTAAAAAGAAAATCAAACCTTATAAATACACCTCGATCTTCCCTCTCCACTCTCGAAAAATACTCTGCCTTTTGAGTTTTACCTAGGGTTTTTTTATTCCTTTCAATTTCTCCTATAATCATCCATCAATCAATGGCAGCCTGCTCATCAGCATCAGCATCAGCCTCAACAGCAACATCTGCTGAGAAGAAGATGTTGATCTTAAAATCCAGAGACGGCGACGAATTTCAGTTAGAAGAAAACGCCGCCGTTCAAGCGATAACCATTAAAAACATGGTGGAGGACGATTACACTCTCATTCCGCTCCCAAACGTCGATACCAAAAACCTAACCAAAATTACAGAGTACCTGAAGATGCACGCCGATGAGCAGACGGAGTCGAACGAAGAAGAAATCAAAAATTTCGACAAGGAATTCGTTAACGCTACCTATCAAGACCTGTTTGAACTTGTATTAGCTGCTAATTACCTTGATATTAAGGGTTTGATGGATCTGTTGTGTCAAGCGATTGCTGATAGGATTAAGAACAAGTCGTATAAAGCTGTGAGGAAGATTTTCAATATCACTAATGATTACACTCCAGAGGAAGAAGAAGAGGTTAGGAAGGAACATGAATGGGCACATGAAGGTGTAGAATGGGACGAATCTACTGATTAGGTTTTGTTTATGTTTTTTGTTTTTAGGGGTTTTAAATTAATTAGTTTCTGGAAACTTCTCTCGGATTATTGTGGTTTTAAGTTAAGATTCACTGATCTATGTGTTTTGATATTTTTCCGTATTTTCAGAGTTGCAATTCTGGATTCGTAATTACTCCGCTAGATAATTGTAGTATTGAAATTCCAATTCATATATCATCAATTTTACTCTAATGACCAGAAAGTGATACTACTCATCTATTTGCTTCTGGTGGTGGGCATTCGAGCATTCTACCGTTTGAATTGGATATGAGAATTTGGTTTGAATTTTTGATTTTTGGATTGAAAAAATGACTATTGGATTTTTTAAATTTGATTTCGAATTAATCAACTTAGATATTTTGAATTTTCAATTTTGAGCCTATAAGGTTATATGTTTCTCTTCTTATAAAAATGAGCATTTAAACGAAGTATTTCTATTAAATTATCCAAAAAATTCTTTATTCTCACCAAATCATCTGATAAGCTAGCTTTTATTGAACTGGAAACAGATCTCTTTTCTCTCGCCCTCCTTGTTATACACTTTCAGGAACATATCCTTTATCAGTTAATAACTAGATTTCATATGTTACTGAATCATTCAAACATTCACAAGTTGAAATGAGATTTTTAGTCTCCTCAATTCGCACAAATATGTAGCAGGATACCTCGTGGAAGAGGATCCGAGTTACAAGATCATAAATCGGAACAAGAGTAGAAAAGAAGATGAGACTTCATATACATAGTATTACAGGCAGTTGAAAGCAATTAGCATTGCCACAGCTGCTTATGTTAATCTATATTCTTGACCGTCAAGCAGCAGCCGGGCGTGGTAATCTCTTGGCAATTTCCTGCAAGTAAAGCCATCAATAAGTGTGAATATTCCCAATATTAGTGTTCAAATGCAAACCTAGCAAAACATAAGGCCTAATTGAAGATAAGGATCTATATATGCAACTACTAATAGTATGCTTACTTTAAGTCCTACGTTTTTTTTAGGAGTCTTTTAGTCCCGTTAATAGAGAATGTTTTGTAAGGTAGAAGTAAGGTCTGCATACACACTACCCTCCCCAGACCCCATTATGTGAGATTATACTGGGTATATTGTTGTTGTTGTAATAGAGAACGTTTTGTCCTTCTATTTTTATTTTTATATTGTATATACTGATCTGAGTGCTAAATGGGCGACATGGTTAAGGAAGATTCAGATAACCGACCTCAACTTGCTGTTAAAGCTTACTTCGTGTTTTTTTTTTATAGATGAAGAAGGCCTAATTCTTGTTGTGGTATTTGTGTTCAAATGCATTAATACTCCGCAAAGAGATAATTAGAGAGGGGGTAGGAGAGCACCATCCGAGCATGGAACTGGACACAACCAGAAAAGCTGAGAGTTCCCTGGTTCAAGAGAATATACATGTGCGCACCCCGTAAAAAGGGAACCTTTTCGTTTTGGATAAAATTAATTTCAGAGAAAGCAAGATCCTCAGAAAACTCTTTTGATCAGACTGAAAAGGTAAGGCAATGTTCCCTTCTTCCTCTACACTTGCTCTACCCCTAACTCCAACCTTAAAAAGGAGGAACAGAAAAGCAAGAGAAAGCTGAAAAAAGAAAGCCCAAAGAATATCAATAATATGAACTAACAGTTCCCCCACATCTGCATTAAGTTTATTCCCACTAAAATCAAAATTTAAACGGTTCCAGAAAGAATGTATTGCTCATAGGACAAAATATAGGTTATCGCATTGTAATTCATTGCATTCACCTATAAAGGTCCCAATTACATATGTACGCCTTAAAAAGGTGAGTTTAAAATTTGAAAGACGAAATGACATTAGGAACATACCTCAAACAACTGGTTGATATTATCAGCTGTCTTAGCAGATGTTTCTATAAAGAACATGCCATTCTTTTCAGCACAGTCAATTCCATCCTTCAAAAGTAAATACCACAAATAGATCAGTAAGCCAGAATTAATTTTCATGACTAACAGCGCTGGTAAAGACTACGATACTCACTTGAGTTGTTACTTCTCTTTTTTCGTGGAGATCAGCTTTGTTGCCAACTAGAGCCATGACAATATCAGGGCTTCCATGTTTTTGTAATTCCTACAAATGCCAAAAAATTAGCAGCTACTAAATAGAACATTTTATGCATGACTATATTTCAGAAGACTAGCACAAGCTTGTCCGACAGGATGACTGGTCACATAGAAAGTGAAGATTCATAAAGACGACCCCACTTACTCAGGATTGAGGTGTAGTTGTTATTGATGTTGTTTATCCGACAGAAGAAAGAAGAAAGACTAAATGCATTGGACACCAATAAACATGAACTGGAAACTTGACATTATTATGCTGATCGACATCTCTCAACTAGTGGTTCTCGGGAAGAATTTATCTATCTTTTACCTTTTCCATCTTTTGCCAAATATTGCCTATTCAAACAAAGAACTGCGGTATTAACAGACATCCTTCCAATAAATTCTTCTATCAGGAAAAAAGCAGGTAAACTTGACATCCTGTCCCTACATAAACCTCAAAAGAATCTCCTAGAGATGTTTATAAATTACAGCAAGTTTATTTTGGGCCTCCTACTCTGGCTCTTGATTCATATGAAGGATACTTAACACACAGAATACATTGTACATGAACTCGGTAGAGGTACAGAAATTTCACAATCTACTGTTAATGGTCCTAAAACACAGGTTTACTCCTACTGAAACAAGAGAAAAAAGGAAGACCGAGAATGTTGCTCCCTCTTTTTACTTTTTGATCCCAGGCCTTAAAAGTAGGTTTATGAACAGAAAAGAGTCTGCACGCAGTTCAGTTCTCACACGTGAGAATCTCTCTTTGGTCATCAACCCAAATTGGTCACCCCCTTCCCAAGTTTTGCACACCTAATTGCAAGATCTCATTCCCTCGCACAAGAGAAAGACCTTTCATTGGACGGAATGTGATTCTGGAGGAGTCGGAAGTAACAAATTCATTCAAGGCCTGTGTTAACACTAAATTCCAAAATGAAACGAGACTAAACATAATCTAGACATCTGGTTACTCCACCTCCTTTTGACCTCATTTTTTCTAGTAAAATATCATTTTAATCAAAACTGGACAAATTGTACCCATATACCAAAATACACACAAACAACTGCAGAAGTTAAGCCATTCTAACTAAAATACTAGAAGATGCAATTTTCATTTCATCATTTCATGTCAAGGAGATTTTGGTTGGCCTGTGTTCTTTTGGATATAGGAAAGTTGTGAGCATGTAACATAGATTATTTTTTACAATAACAACTACTATTATGCCTCTTTCTTAAAAACCACTACTATTACTACTACTCCACAGTCCCAAACAGGTCGGGGTTTGGCTATATGAGATCTCGCTGACCATGTTTCTCCATTGAAATTCATCTCAGGCCAACACTATACAAAACAAAAAGTATCAAAAGTTCTCTATATTTACTACTGGCATAAAAATCTGTGGTAGAGCTTGTGAGAAGGCACGGGAGAAAATAGATTATTGATATTAGATAATAAATACAATACAAGAGGTCCCTATTTATAGTTATACACTACAAGGAGATATTACTCCTCTTCTAATGTGGGACAAGACTACACTATACAGACTAACACTCCCACTCAAGCCGGTGCATACACATCATATGTACCGAGCTTGTTACACATGTAGCTAATACGAGAACCAGTAACAGACTTAGTGAAAATATCTGCTAGTTGATCATTCGACTTTACAAACTTTGTAACAATATCTCCTGAAAGTATTTTTTCTCTGACAAAGTGACAGTCGATCTCAATGTGTTTAGTCCTCTCATGAAACACCGGATTTGACGCAATATGAAGAGCAACTTGGTTATCACACACTAGTTCCATCTTGCTGATTTCTCCGAACTTTATCTCCTTGAGCAACTGCTTGACCCAAACTAACTCACATGTCGTCATAGCCATGGCCCGATATTCGGCTTCGGCGCTAGATCAAGCAATTACATTCTGTTTCTTGCTCTTCCACGAGACCAAGTTACCTTCTACTAGAACACAATATCCATACGTAGAACGTTTATCAAAAGGTGATCCTACCCAATCAGCATATGTGTACCCAACAATCTCGTGGCCTCGATCCTCGAATAGTAATCCTTTGCCTGGAGCTGACTTTATATACCGAAGAATGCGAACAACTGCATCCCAGTGACTATCACAGGGAGAATCCATAAACTGACTTACAACACTCACCGGAAAAGAAATGTCAGGTCTAGTCACTGTGAGGTAATTCAATTTGCCAACCAACCTCCTATATCTCGTAGGGTCTCCAAGAGGCTCCCCCTGTCCAGGTAGAAGCTTAGCATTCGGATCCATAGGAGAGTCAATGGGTCTGCAACCCATCATTCCAGTCTCCTCAAGAATGTCTAAGGCATACTTTCGCTGTGAAATAACAATACCTGAGCTAGACTGAGCGACCTCAATACCTAGAAAATACTTTAATCTACCCAGATCCTTAGTCTGGAAGTGCTGAAAGAGATGTTGCTTCAGATTAGTAATATCATTGCCAGTAATAACAATATCATCAACATAAACCACTAAATAAATACACAAATTAGGAGCAGAATGCCGATAAAACACAGAGTGATCAGCCTCACTACGAGTCATGCCGAACTCCTGAATAATTGTGCTGAACTTACCAAACCAAGCTCGAGGGGACTGTTTCAAACCATATAGTGACTTGCGCAATCTGCACACACAACCATTAAACTCCCCCTGAGCAACAAAACCAGGTGGTTGCTCCATATAAACTTCTTCCTCAAGATCACCGTGGAGAAGAGCATTCTTAATGTCTAACTGATAAAGTGGCCAATGATGTACAACAGCCATGGACAAAAAGAGACGAACAGATGCTACTTTAGCCACAGGAGAGAAAGTATCACTATAATCAAGCCCAAAAATCTGAGTATATCCTTTTGCAACAAGACGAGCCTTAAGCCAATCAACCTGGCCATCCGGACCGACTTTGACTGCATAAACCCAACGACAACTAACAGTAGACTTACCTGCAGGAAGAGGAACAAGCTCCCAAGTGCCACTCGCATGTCTAGCAGACATCTCGTCAATCATAGTATGTCGCCATCCTGGATGAGATAGTGCCTCACCTGTAGACTTAGGGCTAGAAACAGTGGACAAAGAAGATATAAAAGCATAATGA